AATTCAAAATTAGTACTGCATTTGCGATAATAATAAAATGTAGGTATGTATATAGAGTACTCACTCATTTTCTTTCACTATTTTTTCGTGACTTTCTTCATTAAGGCTTGTATTCACGCTAATGGCCTTGTGCATTTGGGTGGAGCTAACGACCCCTCTCCGCGCCACTCCGCTACCAGCATGCGACGACGCGGCCCGCGCCTTGGCGCCACTTGCGTTTGCCGCGCTTTGTCTCGTCACAGAGTGGCGAAATCACAGTAATATAGGTATTTTATAAACAGCACCTGTCTAATATTATGAAATATGTAGATAAAACTTAAAACTTACCTTGATAAACGTATACCCTTTTGTTTGTAATATTTTTTTAGACCTCTCTTCAATCTTTTCTGCTTATTCCCCATGTTTTACAAACTAAACTTAAACATTAATAAAACTGTACAATTAATATAACTATAAAACACTACTCGTTTTCGGGATTTTGGATCAGAGCACGAGGGGGACGGAGCGTTGACTTCATTAGACGAGACCTCTCCAACTTAACGTTTAGGTTCAGTGTGCCTCTAACCATTCGGTGATCGCTGCCAGTTGAAAACTGGCAGCGATCACCGAAGGTCGCATTATTATTATGATTAAAAGCGTAGTTATATATTCTTCAGGCAAGGGATAAATGTCAATATTATCATCTAGAGTAGTACTTAACAGGATCGACAACATATCTATGCTCAATTTCTTGTGAAGTAGTGGCAATCGCATGTGCAACTGTTTCTGACCTAGATTTGGCATTTAGTTTTGATAGTAAAAATCTTTGTGGTTTTTCTGAATACCGATTTTGACAACCAAACTTGTGAGGCAAAACATCTTTTTAAGTTTGAGGGGACCACCAACTAGTTTGTACTTCACGTAGTTTTCCATATCGTTTTCGACCTAGAACAAAATACAAACTTATTTAAAATATATAAAAAAATAAGGAACCTCGTAATTTGTATTCCATCAATATTTAAAATATGTACCAACTATGTAATACATAAAAATAGGACAACACGAAAAAAAATTTAAGTGCTCCACTTCATAATCAAACTTCTTCCATTATTTGCGGCCTGTAAAGTATGCAGGTTGAACAGCTCTGCGATGTGTTTAGTTTTTGCTCGAAATATCGTAAAAATATAAAAACGTTTGTTAACATATTCCATATTTTAACCTTTATATGCATTATAAACATTTTAAAATTTGCTGCAAACATAGGTAGGTAACTAAACTTACGAACTCACGACAGGTCATTGACTTATCTACATTACATAGGTAAGTACTTTACCCAAGTTTGGATGTTTATTTACACTGAAGTAGTTTTAGTTAAATATGTAGGTATTAGGTATTGTTTCTTGTTGAAATTATAATGATCATTAAGCGTGGACAGGTTCAATGAATCGTTAGTTACTTAAACGTACCAACTTAAAGATACCAACATGCCTAATAGAAAGCATTTACTACCAATAAATAAACAAGAGCTATCATGTGAAGATTATTATTATTTGAATACTTACATCGAAATGATCCTCACAACAATATGCTACCGTGTTTGGTCCTAAATGATGTGCTCTTCTCATAGCATTTGTCCATTTATTTCTGAGGGTATGGTTTCTAGGCACATTAAAAAACAACTCTTCAGGTGTTTTTGTGGCCGTATTTTTACATTGAGACACAGCACAATATTTAATAGATGGTGTCATGTTCTATAATGTTTTTTGTTAAAAATATATAGCAAGTAAATCCGCGCGCGACGGGCACATTCGAGTAAATGTTTTGATTTTCTAAGTGCGCGTTGGGTCTCTCGCACGAAGATGGAAATCGTGACGTCATCAACGTTGTCGCTCTCGGCCCGCGGCTTAGACCGAAAATGTTAACTTTGCGCCTTTATATCTCGGTCAGTTTTGAAGATAGAAAAAAATTAAAAACACGGTTATTCTCGTAATTTTTTGTAGATTTTTTGGCATATAAAACAAAAAATGGTTATCTTCTCCATTGACCTTGGCGGGACGTAAAGCAGGAAGAACCATGTGTAAGGCGCTTTACTTACAGTGTCCTTTTAATATCGGTTTCGAAAAATAGGTATACCTATTTAAGTTTATATTGAAGAGAATGCATAAGAATAAGTTTTACTCGATATATTATAATATTTAGGTCTTAGTCGTTATCTAATGAGGGCACAACATGACACCAATTAAATACTTAATAATTTATGATTTAAGGCCACCACAGTGACCTAATACTGAATCGTCAAACAAGAACTAGATTTATGCATTTCCTACTTATGAATGAAAGAAAAATATTTAGGTACATCCATGACAATAAAGAGCATTGTGCCCTCCTGCAGCATTCGTGTGCTGTTCGAATATGTTATGGTTCGTTTTTAAACTATGGTCACTAATCATGGTCATGGTCTCCTTCTTAAATGTTACCGTAATTCAAAATGGATTTAAGTCAAGGAGGTGGAACGTTTCGGCAAATATAACGCAATTTTTTTCTCACAAGAAACAGTGAAATTTCGAGATAATTGGACTACAATAAATTAAATATGGCTAAATCCTAGACAATATTATTTATATTTATATATACAACTCCACAAATTATGAGGACTAAGATGGAATGCCTTATTTCTTATTTTAAAGGATGGATTTAAAAATTTCGGTACGTATTAATATTATCATTATTTAATTGTAATCACTGTATTATAAATACTTATATTTTGTCAAGAAATCTTCATAAAACATTTCTTAAATTAAGTCTTAATAAAATAAGTCATAATTGTTCGAGGTATGTGCGTTGACTCTGTTCCATTTATTGGAGACGTTATTATTTTTTTATTATTAAAGTATGATTGTTTTATTTTGTTTAATGAGACTTCTTTATAGTTTCTCTAAGTATTATAGTAACATTTTATAGACTAAATTTTAAATATGTGCCTGTAGTAAAATTAAAGATGTGAGATTTTATTTTTAATTTTTCAGCTTTCCTCGAGATCCAGTTAGGTGTGCAGAATGAATATCAGTCATAGCATGTCAAAGGTCCGAAGAATTCTTCAAGCCGACCCAAGGAAGCGTTGTATGTTCGAAGCATGTTTTAGAAAGAGATGAATATGTGACTAAGACTTACAACTTTCTGTACATAATTTTATATTTAGTAACTATTGAATTTAGATATAAGTTCTTTGTCAAGCATATTTTTAAATTGTTGACACAAGATGAAGAATAAATAAATAATTATGACTATTTCAAGTACTTTCATTACTAATTAAATATGGTTTCCTATCCAAAAACGTATTTACATTCAGGTAAATTATAACCATTACACATAATACACCATAGAATAGAATAGAATATGCTTTATGTACACCAGTTTTTAAAACAAGTTTAAAACATTTTAAAATTAAAATAACAGTAACAAAAAATATTGAGCAGTTCGACTCCAATGATTCCTCGTCCAAGCTACGAGCCTCGGTCGTAAAAGATTGCTTTTTATTAGCACTTTGTAATTCTGACTTTAAAACACGCGTGTAAGGTTGAATTTGTTATGATATAGGTATCTTTGTGAATACAACTATAGGCAATGTATTTAAGGTTGAATTTACAAAAATGTATATTTATTTGAACTAGAATTACGTCACAACAATTGGCGACAGTTTTTAAAGAACTTTTGTATGGGATTGTGTATGTAGTTCTTTATTAGTGATCGATGATTCAATCGATAACATACATAACAAAATAAAATCATTTCGCTACGCTATCGGTTCGCTGTCTATTTGATTCTTTGAATTTTAAAATACATGACTTTATCAGGGTGGTTTAAAAATCCAGGATGCTGCTTGAACTATCCAGGACATCCCAGCACACTACAAGAACTAGGACATGTCCCAGGAAAACAGGACGGTTGGCAACCCTAGCATGACTGATTATAGCTCATGTGAATAAGGCTAGCGTGCCACTTTGGGATGAGGTGAAATATAAATTATTATTTAAAAAAGTCTATATTCTACTATTCTATTCAACTACTCACGAAATAATCTTAATTTTGATTTAACAATACTTTTTAATTTTATTTTTTGAAATTGATAAATAATAGTTAAGATCAGCTATTATAACAGCTATTATAACATATTAATAATGTAAAAATTTCGTTATTTTTTGAAATTCTATAGTTTAGAGCCGTTCTATAAAAACATTTGGGGCTATATTGGCATCTGGAAATTTCCTGCTACCGGAATTATATATGAAGGGTAGAAGTAGAAACACAAGGTTTGTAGTTTTTCTCCAACTGTCTATTTGTTTGATTGATCATTTTATAACAGCTGAAGCTATTTGTAATTTACCATGTTTTGGTATCTATTACCCCAACTCAAATTCTGAGCTTTGTTTCATCTCAGTCGGGTAATACATCTGGAACTAGCTCTCTATAAACATCTCCCTTACAAACAAAGGTCTGTTACGAATATTTATTTTTTTATTTTTATTTAAAAAATAATATCCATTCCATATTATTCGTGACTCAAAAAATTATATTTAATTTTTTTTTAAGAATTTGTCAAATGTGACATAATAAGCAAAAATAACATTTCATTTTAAGAGAAAAATATCAGAGAGATTTTCAGTGACTTTTTATAGATATGTATTACGTAATATAAAATTGACCTGACTAACGAACCAAGAAGTCCATCTGATGTTAAGTAGCCACTGCAGCTGACTGCTGCTACAGATGCGTTGCCACCTCTGAACCTGACGGTCTCTTACTCTTTTAACTTAGGCAGAAAAAAGGTCTACTACCAAGCCTTCAAGTAAATTAACCACCTTGGCTTGGCACAAACGTTATAGTTAATCGGGCGGTGACGGTGAGTGGAGGAAAAGTAATAGATAAAATAGATAGAAGTATGGTAATGCGACCGACAATATCTATCAAACGTGAAGATTAAGTCAAATTCTCTTGTTACAATAAAAATATAAAATACTAACCTGTCGTTCCCCCGCTTCCCCTCTTAGCTGCCACACTAGTTCAGCACATTGAGCAAGACCAGTGGCTCCTAGAGGATGACCCTTAGCAATCAGGCCACCACTAGGGTTCACGACGACTTTTCCTCCAAACGTATTATCTTCAGCGTCGATAAACTTGCCCGCTTCGCCTTCTCCGCACAACTGAAGTCCTTCATATGTTATCATTTCGTTAGAAGCGAAGCAATCGTGAAGTTCAACCACATCTATTTCTTTCGGCGAGACTCCAGTCTTTTCAAACAAGCGTTTCGCTGCCATTGCTGTCATATCGTAACCAATAACTTTCATCATGCTCTTTTCCTTGAATACATCTGACGTATCAGTAGCTAATTCCATACCAATGATCTCGATGGCTTTTTCTTTGAGTCCATATTTTATCACGGCTTTTTCTGACATAAGCACAGCTGCTGCAGCACCGTCACTAGTCGGACAGCATTCTAACTTTGTTAACGGACCATGAATCCTTCTAGAGTTTAATATTTCCTCCACCGAGCACGCCTTCCTGATTTGAGCTCTTGGGTTTTTACTTCCGTGTCGATGGTTCTTAGCTGCAATCTTAGCGAGGTGAAGCTCGGTGGCACCATATTTTTTCATATACTCAAGTGCCGCGTTTCCGAAAAATTGTGGCGCGATTGGTCCTTTTTGTATTCCAGCTATTTCGTCCACTATTTTCAAATGTTTATCAATAGGATTGGCTCTATCTTCAAATTTTCCGTTAACTAGTGGTCCCGGTGCCATTTTTTCGAAACCGACGGCCATAGCGCAGTCGCAAAGACCTCCTTCAACGAGCTGCTTGGCCATGTAAAGTGCAGTTGAACCAGTTGCACAATTGTTATTGACATTATATATGGGTATACCGGTCATGCCGATCTGATACAGTACACGCTGACCGCAACACGAATCACCGCTGACGTAACCACACACCGCTTGTTGCACCACATCGTAAGGCATGTTGGCGTCTGCCAGAGCGTATTCCACAGCCTCTTTACCCATCTCCGGGTAATCCTTGCCGGTGTTCGGCTTGACAAAATTTGTCATACCGACACCTACTACAAAGACTTTTCGTGTCATTTAAAAATATATTAAGCTTGTCTTATATCCACAATAAAATGCGTTGTAGCACACAAACGCAACGTGAGTGACGGAAACTTGTGCGCTAATGCATCAAAGGTTATAATAACGGGTACGTAAATACTTATATCATTAAAATTTAAGTCAAAGTAGATAAGAGGAAAACTACAGATTAAGATGTTTGTATCAAATGAGCAGAAAAACGGAACAGAGATAAAGCTTCATAAAACTGCGCTAATCGATTGCGCTACTACAAGCACGCGGGGCATGTGTGCCACTCGTCGTGTACGCGGGGCTAAAATGGAAAAATCCGGTTACGCTGCCACAGCCAGTGGTGGTCAGTGGACAATATCAGTGCGATGCACGTTATTTTCTTAGTTGCAAGTTTGAAGATTTTAATGTAAAAACTTGGTATTATTAATAATGGTTGTTTATTGTACTGAGTGTATTTATAATACTAGAAAAAATAAAATTATAGCAGCTATATTAGTAGTGATATTATTAGTATAATAGTATATTATTAGTAGTTATAGCACGAATGGGTCGGCTCGACCGGGGAAGGAACACGCTCTCACAGAATACCAGCGTAAAATAGCTGCTTAATATTACTGTATTTCGTATGGTGAGTGTAGAGAACCGAAAACCCTTTTTGCTGGAAACAAGGCATTCCATCTTAGTCCTCATAATTTGTGGAGTTGTATATATAAATATAAATAATATTGTCTAGGATTTAGCCATATTTAATTTATTGTAGTCCAATTATCTCGAAATTTTTCACTGTTTCTTGTGAGAAAAAAATTGCGTTATATTTGCCGAAACGTTCCACCTCCTTGACTTAAATCCATTTTGAATTACGGTAACATTTAAGAAGGAGACCATGACCATGATTAGTGACCATAGTTTAAAAACGAACCATAACATATTCGAACAGCACACGAATGCTGCAGGAGGGCACAATGCTCTTTATTGTCATGGATGTACCTAAATATTTTTCTTTCATTCATAAGTAGGAAATGCATAAATCTAGTTCTTGTTTGACGATTCAGTATTAGGTCACTGTGGTGGCCTTAAATCATAAATTATTAAGTATTTAATTGGTGTCATGTTGTGCCCTCATTAGATAACGACTAAGACCTAAATATTATAATATATCGAGTAAAACTTATTCTTATGCATTCTCTTCAATATAAACTTAAATAGGTATACCTATTTTTCGAACCGATATTAAAAGGACACTGTAAGTAAAGCGCCTTACACATGGTTCTTCCTGCTTTACGTCCCGCCAAGGTCAATGGAGAAGATAACCATTTTTTGTTTTATATGCCAAAAAATCTACAAAAAATAACGAGAATAACCGTGTTTTTAATTTTTTTCTATCTTCAAAACTGACCGAGATATAAAGGCGCAAAGTTAACATTTTCGGTCTAAGCCGCGGGCCGAGAGCGACAACGTTGATGACGTCACGATTTCCATCTTCGTGCGAGAGACCCGACGCGCACTTAGAAAATCAAAACATTTACTCGAATGTGCCCGTCGCGCGCGGATTTACTTGCTATATATTTTTAACAAGAAACATTATAGAACATGACACCATCTATTAAATATTGTGCTGTGTCTCAATGTAAAAATACGGCCACAAAAACACCTGAAGAGTTGTTTTTTAATGTGCCTAGAAACCATACCCTCAGAAATAAATGGACAAATGCTATGAGAAGAGCACATCATTTAGGACCAAACACGGTAGCATATTGTTGTGAGGATCATTTCGATGTAAGTATTCAAATAATAATAATCTTCACATGATAGCTCTTGTTTATTTATTGGTAGTAAATGCTTTCTATTAGGCATGTTGGTATCTTTAAGTTGGTACGTTTAAGTAACTAACGATTCATTGAACCTGTCCACGCTTAATGATCATTATAATTTCAACAAGAAACAATACCTAATACCTACATATTTAACTAAAACTACTTCAGCGTAAATAAGCATCCAAACTTGGGTAAAGTACTTACCTATGTAATGTAGATAAGTCAATGACCTGTCGTGAGTTCGTAAGTTTAGTTACCTACCTATGTTTGCAGCAAATTTTAAAATGTTTATAATGCATATAAAGGTTAAAATATGGAATATGTTAACAAACGTTTTTATATTTTTACGATATTTCGAGCAAAAACTAAACACATCGCAGAGCTGTTCAACCTGCATACTTTACAGGCCGCAAATAATGGAAGAAGTTTGATTATGAAGTGGAGCACTAAAATTTTTTTTTCGTGTTGTCCTATTTTTATGTATTACATAGTTGGTACATATTTTAAATATTGATGGAATACAAATTACGAGGTTCCTTATTCTTTTATATATTTTAAATAAGTTTGTATTTTGTTCTAGGTCGAAAACGATATGGAAAACTACGTGAAGTACAAACTAGTTGGTGGTCCCCTCAAACTTAAAAAGATGTTTTGCCTCACAAGTTTGGTTGTCAAAATCGGTATTCAGAAAAACCACAAAGATTTTTACTATCAAAACTAAATGCCAAATCTAGGTCAGAAACAGTTGCACATGCGATTGCCACTACTTCACAAGAAATTGAGCATAGATATGTTGTCGATCCTGTTAAGTACTACTCTAGATGATAATATTGACATTTATCCCTTGCCTGAAGAATATATAACTACGCTTTTAATCATAATAATAATGCGACCTTCGGTGATCGCTGCCAGTTTTCAACTGGCAGCGATCACCGAATGGTTAGAGGCACACTGAACCTAAACGTTAAGTTGGAGAGGTCTCGTCTAATGAAGTCAACGCTCCGTCCCCCCCTCGTGCTCTGATCCAAAATCCCGAAAACTTTCAGCTCGAGTTACACAACCGCTTTCAGTGCCTACAAGATTGCAATGCAGTGGACGATATGAATGACAAGCTCGTGGAAACTGTCCATGCGGTCGGAGCTAAGTTCTGCAAGACCCGCCGCAGAAGAACACAAAAACTCTCCGATCACACTCTTAATCTCATGGCTGTTAGACGGGAGATGAGGCTGCAATCGTCAACAGATTTGACAGCATACAGGCAACTGAACAGACAGATCTCCAAATGCATGCGGCGAGACTTGCGCAACTTTAATACTGCTCGTATTAAAGAAGCGATCGAGCGGAACCAGGGCTCCAAAGTCTTTGCCAGAGATCTATCTGCCAGAAAGAGCCAACTGTCAAGGCTGAAGACTGAGTGTGGCAGCATCGTTTCCGGGACACCTGAGATTTTGAGTGAGATTGAGAGGTTCTATGGGCAGCTGTACACATCATCGTTGGAGCCACACGCAAGTGTGAGTAACGATCCAAGAGCAAGTCTTATCCGACACTATTCCGATGATATCCCGGACGTCAGTCTAAGCGAGATTAGAATGGCTCTCCAGCACCTTAAAAACGGCAGGGCCCCAGGCGAGGATGGAATTACAGCGGAGCTTCTGAAAGCGGGTGGAACACCGGTACTTGAAGTCCTTCAGAAGCTCTTCAATTCCGTCCTCCATGGTGGCACTACTCCAGAGGCGTGGAGCAGAAGTGCGGTGGTCTTGTTCTTTAAGAAAGGCGACAACGCTCTCTTGAAGAACTACAGACCGATTTCCCTTCTGAGCCGCGTCTACGTGCTGTTTTCGAGAGTCATTACGAATCGTCTCGCACGCAGACTCGACGACTTCCAGCCTCCCGAACAAGCCGGTTTCCGAAAAGGCTTCAGTACCATAGACCACATACATACCCTGCGGCAGATTGTACAGAAGACTGAAGAGTACAATTTGCCACTTTGCCTGGCGTATGTGGACTATGAGAAAGCCTTTGATTCCGTCGAAATTTGGGCGGTGCTGCAGTCCCTTCAGCGGTGCCAAGTTGACTGTCGGTATATTGAAGTGCTGAAGTGTTTGTACAGTAGGGCTACGATGGCTATCCGAGTACAGAACCAGAGCTCGAAACCTATCCAACTGCAGAGAGGTGTAAGACAGGGTGACGTTATATCCCCGAAACTCTTCACCGCTGCTTTGGAAGACGTTTTCAAGCTACTGGACTGGAAAGGATACGGTATTAACATCAATGGCGAGTACATCACTCACCTTCGATTTGCCGACGATATAGTCCTTATGGCAGAATCGCTGGAGGACTTAAGCACTATGCTCAATGACCTCAATAGTGCCTCCCAACGGATAGGTCTTAAGATGAACATGGACAAAACAAAGATTATGTTTAATGTCCATGTCACACCTATGCCGGTAGTTGTTGGGAGCACTATGCTCGAAGTTGTTGACGAGTACGTTTACCTGGGACAAATAGTCCGACTAGGTAAGTCCAACTTCGACCGAGAGGTCAATCGACGGATTCAACTCGGCTGGGCAGCGTTCGGGAAATTACGACATATCTTCTCGTCAGGTATACCTCAATCTCTGAAAACTAAAGTGTACAACCAGTGCGTGTTGCCAGTGATGACTTACGGATCAGAGACGTGGTCCTTCACTGCTGGCCGTATGAGGACGCTCAAGGTCGCTCAGCGAGCTATGGAGAGGGCTATGCTCGGAGTTTCTCTGCGTGATAGACTCAGAAATGAGGATATCCGCAGTAAAACCAGATTGACCGACATAGCCCAACGGATTAGTAAGCTGAAGTGGCAATGGGCCGGCCATATAGCTCGAAGAACCGATAACCGATGGGGAAGAAAGGTTCTCGAGTGGCAGCCTCGTACCGGTAGGCGTAGTGTAGGGCGACCCCCCACTAGATGGAGTGACGACCTGGTAAGATATGCAGGAAGTCGATGGATGCAGGTGGCTCAGGACCGTGCTTTGTGGCATTACTTGGGGGAGGCCTATGTTCAGCAGTGGACTTGTGAAGGGCTGTGATGATGATGATGATGATGAATAATGCGACCCTTTTTCTATTAATATTGAAAACATCTGATTTTTAGATAAAATCATATTTTTATACACTGAAGGTATATTTTTAGTAAATTTCTTTATATACAACGGGAATTTTTATAACCATAAAAATCACAAAAAGGTCAGGGTACACTTATGAAGAATAAGAAAACAAAACTAGTTAGAGGCAGACAGTAAGTAGGTAGGTAAGGAATGTTTACGTATTTTTGTTATAATTATTCTTATCATTAGCAAATGAAACCCAGAAGTATTAATGTAATAATGGGTACCTAGGTTATAAAATATTATCTTATTCTTATGCGTATTTCAGCTGCAACAAAATCTTTGTTTCTTAGAAAATATTCCGCCACCATCATGTCACGGACTATTGGAAGGTTGTCAGACTGACCTTTTGAAACCCTTCTTCCATCATTAAATACTTAAAAACACCAGAGCGCACGAGGGCAAATAACTCACCCGCGAAATATTACTACAAACATTGCGCTGAAACGATATGGCGGCGTGGCCGCATGGAATCGATGACGTCACGCGCTACTCGCGGGCACGGGCTAAATGTACGTAAACTTTCCACGCTTATAACTTCGGTATTAGTGCACCAATCGATGTGAAATAAAAACTAGAATTATGTGTTTGGTGTAGACATTTTACCTACGTACTTAAAAGTTTAATATTGTAACCTTGTTATCTTCTCCATTACGGTACATGATAAATAAAGACGAACGCCAGTGATTATTTCATTTAAAATGCTGAATTCTCGGGGATATCAACGTATCTGCATTTCGATTCTTAGTCGAGATTATGTCTATGAGACACAGCATCCACTTACGAACAGGTGGATTTTGTGCCCATTGCTTACTCTTATTTTATAAAAAACAGTGCATTACTTTGGCGGGGTAATAGTAATAAGGTAAACAATTACTGCCTTATTAATAAAAATTGCTTATTCCAAGCTTAATTCGAAGTTACACTTGGACTAGCTAATCTCAGAGTAACTGACTATTTACTTCGTTATTACAATGTTATTAATAAATATGTAGTAACCTCGGACTAACTACACATTCGTTACTCCGGGATTAACGTTTGTGCTATGGCAACCTGCTTATTTTAAAAGTAAAAAGAGTGAGTCAGTGAATGATTAGTGAATGAACTCAATGCTTGATGATGACATTAATGACATGGACAGGCAATATTTTGAGTTTGACAAGAGATACGTGTTACGTGTTGTTCCTTGTTGCTCGTGTTGTTTTCGGACTCGGTGGAAAAACTAAGTTCTAAATATAATCATTTTTAATATTATTCGTAATGAAATTTTAGAATTCAGAAAAGAGTGTGAAGGGCAAAATTAATTAAATAACCATTTTTGTTTTGTTTTTTGGGATAAATAAAATCTTTTGTACATGTAATTATTGTATATTTATTTTAAAAAAAAATCGTTAATAAATGCTGCCCGAACAGAATTTCCTCTAACGGAGTTATTTACTAATTGTGCGGCCGGTACATTTTCATCATCTCCTTATACTACATCCTCAAGCAGATCTTGCTTTTGCATTGCAATATATATAGTTTTGTATGCTCTTATTTAGTATTTAGTCCTCGCAGTAAACACCGAAACCTTTGCTTCCCTCCAAAGCATTGTTCTACAGTGTTAAGGGCCCAGATGTGCGACCGGTTGTACATTATTTTCTTTTGTTTACTAGGACGCAGGATAGGAGTGAATAAATACAAGCATTTAACTATAATCTCCGAGAAGTCTGCCTTTAAATTATGACTGCTCAAACATTTGTTTTAATGAGACTTTTATTAAATATTCTTGAGTCACGTGTGCTGCCTTGCCAATTTGGCACTGTATCCATGATCTCTAAATTTGCATTTGACCCAACCTGGAACAAAGCACTAATAACTTCTTTAATATGAAATAATAGATTGAGGTGATTGTATTGAATCTAAGAAAATTACTAAGTACCTATATGGCAAGGATTGGCTAGCTAGGTGATGTAAAACTTGTACATTTATTTAACTGTATTCTTTCCTGTTTATGTAGTATTGTCTGATGTTTCCAGCGACTTTCGGGATTCTAATATGTGGCTATCAATAGCCCCAATCACTTGTCTAAATCCACATAATCCATAAAATAAAAACCTGCCATCACTTTGTTCTGCATCACACACACATCACATCACTTCTTGGCATTTTAATCCACTGTGCTGTTTTTGTTACTAGTGCTTACAACTTATGAATTTAAACGTAAAGTTTTACAAAATGTCAAAATACGTGACTAGTCTATGCTTACTCAGTCGTTAAACTAGGTACCGCCAAGGATTAACATTTATTCCGAGAGTAGATTCGGATTAGTTTACTCCCTCCTCACTCTATGTTTATTAATACTAAAATTAGATATTTTAAGCTTTAAACTAGGAGTAAAGTTAATTTTGCTCAAGTCTGTGTTTAATAATAGGGCTGTTAAGGTAATAAACCTGGACGACCGAGCTTTGATCGGTATTTTTTTTTTCGAAATCATATTTAGATACAAATTACATACTGATGAAATATGAATAATATTTTTTGATCTTACCGACATAATAAAAAAACTGAACTGGTTATTTGAATAAAAAATCATAAGTGCAATTAGTTTAATTTAAATTTTCGTTTTTTTTTTAAATATTAAAAAAGGGCTCGAAATAATAGATTTTCTCACAAAAGAACACCTGAAAAAAAAAGAAAAAAGTCGGACCGAATACAGGACTCGAACCAGGGTTTGGTAGGCAGGTAAATTTACCTTCTTATTCTAATGATATTGTAGCAGTTTTTCATTGCCTGAAAACACGGATAAAATGACTACTTCTAAAAATGAATCCCGGCTGGATCGACTTATTGCCCCCGATACCCCCTGGACACTAAATTTTATGAAAATTGCCGTTTCCGAGATTCCGATTATATATATTGACATGACATGCTGCAGCTATATTCGTAGTATAGTTATAGAACGAATGCGTCAGCCCGACCGGGGAAGAACCACTCTCTCACAGAATACCAGCGTAAAATAGCAGCTTAGCGCTGCTGTGTTTCGTATGGTGAGTGTAGAGAACCGGAGACCCCTTTTACTTGAAACGAAGCAATCGATCTTAGTCCTCACGGGTGACAACGCATCTGTATTTTGAATTTTGATATGTAATCGAGGATAGAATGTGTCGTCAAATATCAAAATCCTTTACGTCCGCTCTGAGTTAAACGCGGGAAATTGAAGTTATAAGTGTTTTGGCGAAATATTTTATAATTACTGTTGTTTTGTATAATCAGACTATTTTCTTAGGGATTTCCATATAATGTAACTTAAAAAATTAATAAATTAATGATAGAATAAGCTAAAAAAGCGGGTTAAAGTTTGGACATACCGAATTTTGATGTGTATGAGCTAATTATATCGGTGTTGATCCACTAAAAATTCATAGTGGACTTACCGGGTTTTGAAAACAAATTACTGGACTTACCTAAGTTTGATTAACATACTTCTAATAGGACGTATTCAGAGCAGCTGACTTGTGGTCACTGACCTCTATTTATACTTGTATATATAGAGGTTATAAATGAAACAATGGCTTTAAGTGAATCAAAATATGTTATTTATTTAAACAAAGTCTTAAACCTCTTCCATTTCATAATCTTGCGAATTATTTAGTTTTCAGTTAGATCAACATTGTTTTGTAAAATATTTTTATAAAATAGAAGTTCGGGTAACTGATCCCATTGAAGTCCAAAATGTATTTGTAATAACTTTTTTACGTCCAGTAATTTATCAGGCTTTATTGAAGGAAGAATTTCAATAACGCTTGGATTGATATTGACAATTTTTTTACCTTTCTTTAGTAATGAAGTACTTGCAGCAATGTTGTTCCGGTATACTACTTCTCCAGTTACCTGTATTTTGTCTCCCGAACGGGTGATAATAATACGCTTGCATTTGCTGACTTGGAAATGAAAGTTAGACTTCAAATTATTTTGTCTTTCTGTCTTCCAATCTAGAATTAGGGCATTAATTCCAACCTTGTGAATTGTTGCGTGTTTAGCAATCAAATCGATGTATTCCTGAGACTCAATTATGTTTTCTCTGCGTCTTATTTGTTTTTCAGTCCATGCGAATATCCTGTCTGGTGGTATAAAAGAGTGTCCTGTGACAGGAAATATTATTTGAATTTCTGTTATATTAGGGTAACGAATTCTGACATCATACAGCCATTTCATGGCCATTGTTATCAATATTGAATTTTTATTTTGGCCACCACAACCGTCAGCGATCAACCTTACTTTTTCTTTTCTTTTCTTTTAATTTTTGAATTCTGTACTGTGCTCGTAGTCCTTGTGTTTCTTGTTCGTTACGGGATAATTTAATTCGCTCAAGTAATTGAAGACAATCCGAGCAGACGTATTATCTAGGAGACCCAAATCCGATATTAAAACTTGCAAGTATTAAATACTTTCCTAAAATATCCAATTTTAATGTCATAACCGGGCAAGGCTTCATCATTATACATTTACCACATTTTATCTACATTTACATCTGGAGACAAATACATACGTATTTTAATTTTACCTCTACAATGATGTGTTTCTAGTGGCTTACATTTTTTAATAAAATTTCCAATTGCCTCTTTACGTGACGTAAATTGAAAAGCATTTTGGTCCCCGCCTCTATTTTCTATGATGAAAGAAAAGAAACGCTGAAACCGGAACGATGTTAGCCATCGTTCCGGTTTCAGCGTGTCTTTTCATAACACCCTCTACGTATGATTTATTTATTTTTAAAATACTGATGAACGCCATTTTACACACTTGAGCGTATTTCTTCTGTTTTTTACTAAAAATTTTATAAATCAGAGTAAATTTTTTCCGCGGACGCAGGCGCTTTATCGGAGTGCTTTATAATAAAATTGTCCTGGTCAATCTTATTTAATTTAGAGTAATAATTGCGATGTAAGTGAAACATATCATTTGAGGTTAGCGTAGCCCACTTCAAAGTTTTGTTATTATGGCCAAAGGCTGGTCTTTTCGGTAATCCGGGCGCTGAATACCTACAAAAGACATACATACAAACAGTCAGCTCAAAAATAAAACATAATTATCTAAATAAGCCAGGTGAGCAGTGACAAGCGCAAGTAGTTGTTAGTTATTGCTGTAAAGTAAAAATAAAAACAAAACCCCGTTAAGTAGTCATAAAAATGCAAATGCAAAAGTCAGCACCTAAGTATTATAAATATTATTTGTTCCCAAAAAAGATCCCTAAAACTTTTTGAAGTACCTAAATATACATGCCGCCGGACGTAGTACTATTATTTATTCTGTGCCGCCGGTCTTTATATTTCAAATTCCAATAAAACAATGGAGAAGTTTAAAACAAACACATTTTAAGGCTGATCAGACAGCACACATGCACCGACAAGTCGTTTGATGTCCTAAAGTGGACTAAAAATTATAAATTTGTAGTGTAGGCGCTATTGCGGTCTGAACAGCCTTAAGGTGAATCCCTGACCAAAATGTTGCGAAAGTGCGTTTTTCAGACTCTATTATCTCATTAGTTATGAAAAATAAACTACATCTAAAAGCACATTATTAATGTTCGATATCTTATCATCGCATTCCACGTTCTAATTTATTTTTATGTGCCATAAATACATTTAAAATCAACTTTTAAAAAATGACTAAAATTCTTGATTACATGCATCTGTTGCTAAACGCAACGCTCTAATCATTTGAGGATAACACTAATGGATAGATAATTAAAAAATCTATATTCTCCACGTTTTATTTAAATTTTTAAAGTTCGTTTTTTCTCTTTTAATTGAAATAGTTCCGAAAATTGTGTGACTTCTATGATAAAGGGGCGTGCGCAGAGTGCGGGCGGCATTACCAAATTACGCTGTATGCGTTCATACGAGGTGGCCGCGTCGCTGGTCGCCGCGCGTCCGTATTTCGCCGCAAACAATAATTATTTGAGTACCTACCAACCGATGCGCTTACGTCACGGTATATTGTAACTCGGCCGTATCTTAGAAAATAAATATTACAGCCGTGCGGTACGTAAACATACGATAGGGATGCCTGCCTCCAGCATTTTTACATTTGCCCATTGATTTATGTGTTTTATAACTCAATGCATTTTCCTACTTTGTGTTTCCATTTAGTTTTATGATTGTACTTAAATATACTTTTTTATATAAACAAAATATAATAGGTACTTTGTGAATTAAATAGGAAGTGTTCAATAAAAATGCGTGTCGTTTTATGATTGGTAGATTTAATTAAAAAACCATGTTTATGTTTGAATAACAAATTGGTCTTATAAATTTGCGGCCGAAAAATATTTGCGCCTCGGCTGAGACGTACGAAATGCTTTATTATTAAAATTTTAAATATAAAAAATCCGCATTATAATATAAAGCTTAATTAAAAATTGTTTTGGGAAACATGGACAAGTTGGAGTAAAGGAATATCTTTTACTTGGTTATAGATACCTGCAGCTACTTTACAATTTATATGTTTGGTTTTAAATGAAGTTTGGATTTATTATTTTTTATTTTTATTCTATTTTCTGAAAGAAATTATCACTGCGTGTTGGCGAACTTTGCATGTCTTCGAAATATTTTTTTCTTATTTCTCAGACATGCAGGTTTCCTCACAATGTTTTCCTTCACCACTGAGCACGTGGTAAATCAACACTTAAAATTGCAATTACAATATTATTGGTGCCGGCGGGGATCGAACCCGGTTTGCTCGCACACTGTGAAAATTTTAGCAAGCGCTAACCATCTGAGCTACCACGGCTCCTCTCCTCTCGAGCTAGAGACTTTATTTTATTTATCGTCAGGCCTGTTGGTCTAGTGGTTAGTGACCCTGACTGCTATGCTGCAGGTCGTGGGTTCGATTCCCACCCAGGACAAATGTTTGTGTGATGAGCACGATCATTTGTTCTGTGTCTGGGTGTAATTTATCTATAATATTTATGTATTTAGAAATATATAAGTATGTTTATCAGTTGTCTAGTACCCACAACACAAGCTCTGCTTAGCTTGGGACTAGATGGCGTTGTGTGATAGTTGTGGAATATTATTATTATTATATTATTATTATTGGGGTATCTGTATAGTTTCTCATCTGGTTGGTTTTTATAAATATAAATTAAAATGAAAAGATAAATATACATAAATATCAATAAAATAAAATAAATACAAAAAATATACAAATAAATAAAGATCCAACCATATTAAATAAAAAATAGTCTCCTATCTTTCTCTCTATGTTTTGATCTCCTAAAACGAGTTTGAGTTGGTAAAATCAAGGCAAACTTAGGGTAGGGTTGTCAATTATTATTTTGATAATAAAACTAGTGAAATTCCGCGGTTTTATATGCGCAAGCGTGAACGTAGTTAGAACATAATATAACCTTTATGTTTTACATAAATATCCTAAAAAACTTATTATTTTAATATTTTACTAAGTACCTATAAAATTAACAAGTTTATTGCATTTTTATTTGAGTAATTTTTTATGCAATTTCTTTATCGACGTCTATTTTTAGGAACCCTTATTTAGTCTGAATCATACATAACACTATATTACTGATTTACTTACTTATACGTAGTTTTCCTTTTTTGCAGTTACAAATATCTTGTGAGGTTGAAAAAGGCAGTAATGAAAAAATAATAAGAATAATAATAATTGACGTCAGCCACTTCTTTTCATAAAAATTTCAGATCATGGTCCATTAGGTTGCAGCTTCAGCGAACCACAACTTATAATAATAATAATAACAGTAATAATATAATATTATTTTGTATTTATTTTATTTTATTGATATTTATGTATATTTATCTTTTCATTTTAATTTATAATTTTTATATATTTAAATATTTATATAACCGAACCAGATGAGAAAATTATACGGCTCCAACGATTTTAGCGACGAACGCTTGGATTTATTTTTAGAAAATGTCCTTTTGTCCATGTTTTCAGGCAATAAAAAAACTGCTACAATATAAGAAGGTAAATTTCGACAAATCACTACGGTCGTTATAGCTCAGGTGGTATGTCGGTCGGGCGTGATATCGGAGTTCCGTGGTTCGCGTCTTGGCTTTGGTCCCGCTTTTTTTCCTCTTTTTTTCAAGTTCTCTTCTTTTGTGATAAAATCTATTATTTCAAACCCTTTTTTTTAGTAACTTTTAATTTTAAAATTATAAAAAAAATATCTATTTATTTACCAATGCTATATTTATTATTTTAATAATTACCTACCCAGTAGGTAAATATTAAAATAATAAATGTAGCATTATAAACAGTAAATCTCCCTCAAACTCAATTTACTAATATTGTTCCTAAATAAGGAATAGCAGATAAAAGATTAGTAGGTAATAACTATTGCTCCTCAAAATTATATTTGACCTCAAGGTAAAACATATCCTAAAATTCAGAAGCTAAATAAAATAATAATACATACTATTCAAGTATATTTTCAATATGTAAGTAAATGAAAATAACAAAAATGAAGCACCATTAGCATGTAAAGTTCGAATCCATAATTAATATTTCAGACAAATATTAAAATTTACACTATAAAAAAGCTAATTCAATATTAGCAGTATAGTATATAGTTAAAAATAATCAAAATATTCTTTTTTATTAATTAGATAATATATTAGAATACATAATTCTAATATAATGCAACTAATATATCGAATAAAGAAAATTAAAATACATTTATCATTGTACGCCGTGTCTATTTCCATAGAATAGTTCATTGACATCGAAAAAATAATACTACGTTCGTAGCAGTAGGTGGCGTCTTTTGGCGATTTCTTACGCGATATATTGTAGCGAGCTTCGACAGACCAAACGCTCAAGGTCGTTCGCTGGAGGTAGCGCCTTAAGTCCAATGCATTATATTTATAAACTGACATAGCGACAGTAGCCTAATGGCGGGGTGCGGACCGCAAACGAAAAAGATCGTGGGTTCGAATCCGCATTCGACTACTGGCGTGAACCACTCATAACACAAGCAGTTAAACTTACCACGAGTGGTTAAGGGGAATATTAGTAATGTTTATAGCATTGTTAATATTCTTTTACAAAAAAAAATATATATAAACTGAGTGCGGTAGGGACCAACGTTACTGTTATGTATTATTTTTAATATCAAAAAACCTGTCCATTGATATCTAAAAACATATCTACAACATAACTTGTTGAAAATCACAGAA